ACCCCTTGTTTGAAATGCTCAGGACCATAAGTGTTTCTGATTTTGAATACTAGGGTTCTGGTATATTTGTATATATGCCACAGATACCTTTGGGATAGGTTCCAAACCTGAACACAAAATTCTTTTACATTTCCTCTAAACTTTATGCACATAGTCTATAAGTAACTTTATACAATATTTAGTTCATTTACATTTTGATTTAGTCTTATTACATGAGGTCAAAATTTTCCACCTGGTATATGTTAGTGCTCAAAAAGTTTTTGGATTTTATAGCAGTCTAGATTTCCAGATTAGGGATGCTCACTTTGTACTTAAGTTTTAGTTCCACAAATGTAGTTCCAGAAATGCCAGAGACCGGCATGGTTTAATTTTTTTTTCTGTTGGCTGTGGGGCCTGAACTCTGGGCCTGAGCACTGTCCCTCAGCTCTTTAGCTCAAAGCTAGCACTCTATCACTTTGAGCCACAGAATCACTTCTGGGGTTTTCTGCTTATGTGGTGCTGAGGAATCAAACCTAGGGCCTCATGCATGCAAGGCAAGCACTCTACCACTGAGCCACTTTCTCAGCCCATGATTTAATTATCAAAAGAGCACAGAAAACAATATATAGTCATAGAGAAGAGAATGCTTATAACTGAATGCACTTACGTTAATGGAGAAAATCTATGCTGAGACTACAAACCTGTTTTAGAAATGCAAATAAGAGCTATATACAAATACAAGTTATATTAGTGAGCAAGCCATAATATGCTAAAAATATTAAAAGCTAGCTGTGACAATTATCTTTTTCCTTCTATAGACTAATAATGAAACAGCTAATTTATAACTTCACCATTTCAGATTACATATGAAAGTCTATCTATAAACGCAGAAATCATAAGATTTTCTCATCTTGTTTAAAAATTGAGCCAATGATTCCTTGTAGTAATATAATTTTATTATCTATACAAACAGCTGGTAAAGTTTTCCCAAAAAGTTACTATCAACAGTGACTTGAAATATATGTGTGTGTGTGTGTGTGTATTTATTTATTTTTTAACCAAAGAACAGACTTAAGCAGAACAGACTTAAGCAAACATACATTCATTGTTTTAGTAATTCCAGCACTCAGAAAGATCATAAATTTGAGCCAGCTTAGGCTAAACAGCAAGTTCCAGGCCAGCCTGAACTATATACCAATAACATCAAAACCCAAGTTAGTTTGAACTTCTACCAAATGATTCAAGTTAGTTAGCATAAAGTTTAAGTTCTGAAACAAACTGACAAAGATAGATAGGAACAGGTATTTTGTGACTTATAAAGTAAACAACAACAATAAATCCCCCAAAAGTGAACAAATGTAGCACTGGTACTCACTAGACATTATGCTGAAGATGAACTACATAACTATAGAGAGGGAGAAGGGAAATGTACTCATTACCTGACTTATGTAACTAACTACTCTGTACATCACCCATATAATAATAAAGAATAAAATAAAAATAATTTAAAAAACCCAAATGCAAAACATTGAAAAGACTAAAAATTGCACGATTTAGTAAGGAAATAAGCATTACTTTTTTTTTTTTTTTTTTTTGGTCAGTCATAGGGCTTGGGTACTGTCCTTGCATTCTTCAGCTCAAGGCGAGTGCCCTACCACTTGAGCCACAGCGCCACTTTCGGTTTTCTAGTGGTTTATTGGAGATAAGAGTGTCACAGACTTTCCTGGGCTGGCTTTGAACCCTGATCCTCAGATCTCAGCCTCCTGAGTAGCTAGGATTACAGGTGTGAGCCACCAGTGCCCAGCTATTCCATTCTTCTTTTAAGCACTCAAAATAACAATAGGACAATGCTCATATCACTATAATTTTCCAATTTAAGATTTAAATGTAAACCACACCTTTCTTCCACCTTGTTATTGATTAGCTCTAAGAAATACGTCTTCAGTTGTTTTGAAAATCAGTGCCCAACTTATTAGTACCTCAACAAGTACTTTAGGTACTTCTAGCAAATGGCTTGAGTTTTCAAGCTTGGGAAAATGAGAAAAGTAAAGGTCCAAATGGAGGATAGCAAGGGAGATAATATAAAGCAGCCCTGTTTTTCCTTGGCTATTTTAAGATTGCAGAACAGTGGTGCCTACTCAGAGGCTGAGAGAAAAACAAAACTTTCCATGAACTCTAATTGTAAGCATGTGACCAGTACTCAAATGCCAAGACCTGGGTGTTTCCCAAATGCCTCAAGTGTCACATGGAACCGCCAAGCTCCTCAGACACCACGGGTGGCCAGGCTAAATCCTCTACTGTTCTTTTCCCTTTGCTCCTAGTCACCTTCAATTCATAATTCTGACAGGAGTCCACACTGCCTTCACTGTCTCCATTCCTTAACATCCACAGCCCACTCTCCACATACCTCCAAAGAGGTTCCCAAGTAAACATTTTCACCAGACTTTAATAATTTAACAGGGAAGATGGCAGTAATTTCAAGTAACACAAGGGCAGGTTGTTATACTATAGTCACATGAAAGTATACTCCCTTGGAAAAAGTGAATATTATTTTGTATATATGTAAAGATTTAAAAGAGGTATCTACTTAATGTTCATAAGAAGTGACAAGACCCATAATAAGTACATCTTCTCCACCACTGGGAAATAGACTTTTTTCTCTTTTGGACAGTTGTGGGACTTGAATTCAGGGCCTGGATGCTGTCCCTGAACTTTTGTGCTCAAGGCTAGCACTCTACCACTTTTAGCCACAGTTCCACTTTTGGTTTTTGAGTGGTTACAGGCATGAGCCACTGACACCCTGCTAGGCATATTTTTAATGCTGAGAATAGGATGTTTTAAAATACAATTTAAAAATCAGATTGAAGTTAATAAAAATTCACTCTGAACCAGGTGCCAGTGGCTTATACCTATAATTTCAGCTACTCAGGAAACTCAGATCTGAGGATTATGGTTCAACAGCCAGCTCAGGTAGACAAATCTGCCAAGACTCACTCTTATATCAGATTAACCAGCAAAAAGCCAGAACTGAAGGTATGGTTCAAATGCACCATGTGCACCAGCCATGAATGGAAAAGGCCAAGTGAGAGCATGAGGCTCTGAGTTGAAGCCCCAGTATTGGCACACACAGAAACGTCATACTGAAGCTTATGAATCTAAGTTATAAGAGTAGCAGGTTTAATAAAGAATAATAAAGTTAATGTTTAGGGAATGCCCACTGTGTTTCAGGCACTGAGTAAATACTTTCCAAGCACTACAGAATAATCAATAAATAATCAATAAATTATAAATAAATAATCAATAAATTATCAGCATGCCATGTAACCAGGACATCAATACTTTATAACATTACTACTACAGAGTCACTCTATATACCCTCAAACACTTATAGAATACTATGCTAAAAATAAGAAATAATCCAAAACAATGTAAGTATAAATCAAGTCACATGAGTGGGCAATACCCCCTAAGAGCTTAAAAAGTAAAATCCAAATATTATGGCTCTACATCCAGTTCTCCTCTGTTGGTCCAAGGTATTGATGTCAATTTTATTAGGAAAGCAAACTACAGCCTCTAGTGGCACATTTGAGAATAAAAAATTCTAGGCAATAAAAATCTTTTTGAAATTGCCAAGAAGAAATATCCCAAATCAATTCTTGGCCCTGATCTGTACTCTCATTGCTTAATTATTAAAATTCTTTGATGTATAAGAAATACAAGCAAACAAAAAATAAAAGAATAAAATAACCATTGCTCATAGGAAAGTTTTTAGAAAGTTTCCCATTCCCACCTGAGGTAAAAAATTCTTGTGAATAAAATAATGGGAGTTAAGATCTTAAAATTATATTATTTCATAAATAATTTGAACTTCTATATTTAAATTTTTGTGATATTGGAGTTCACACCCAGGGCCTTTTGTTTGCTAGGCTATTCCTGCAGTGACTACTAGGGAGGAACAATACAAATATTGGGAAGCAGTCCAATATTTTAAAACACACTTTAAATGAATTTTCTCACTATCTACAACTGTTATAAAACATGTATGTATAGATGCATGTATGTATGTATGTATGTCCTGGGGCTTAAACTCAGGACCTCAGCTTGTGTTCAAGGCTAATGCTCAACCAGACATATCACAGCTCCACTTTCGGGCTTTTTGGTGGTTAATTGAAGATAAGAGTCTCATATTTTCCTGGTTGAGCTGGCTTCAAACCATGATTCTCAGATAGCAGTCTCCTAGCTAATACTATAGCCATGAGCTACTAGTGCCCAAATGTTATAAAACCTTTAAACCATGAAATATATATGTTCAGGCTTCCCCAAGGCTCTTCCAATCAGGTCGAGAGACCAGAAAAGCAAGCAACATATGTAACATATAAATCTGATTCTAATAATATAGATGAATTAGAGACACGGTTTTTTAAAAATTGCTTATTAATTTTATAGAGTCCAAAATTCAAGGCTAAGCTTTAGTAATTATGCTAACCTTCCTCTTTACTACTCATGTTCACAACATGCCAGCTTTCACAAAAGGAAATTTATAGTGCAAGCAGAATGATGTACTATTAAAGATTACTTATGGGCAGGGGATGTGGCTCAAGTGGTAGAATATTTTCCTAGTAAGTACAAGGCTCTGAGTTCAAACTCTGGTATTGCAAAGTCTGGCATTAAGTGTTCATATCTGTCTTGAAGAGTTACCATATCATCATTATTTATGAAATGTTAAGACAAAATGAATATAAAGACATGATAAAGAACCAATTAAAAAGTAATTTACAATTACATTCATTTGAAATTCCAGAAAAGCTGAAACTCAGACTATCTACCTACTGCCACAAAACTGTTAAATTTAATTGAGTAGAACACTGTGTTTATTGGATTTAGATTAACTAATGCTTTGGAAAAGCCCCTTTGACTCAATATACTGCAAATAGCCCTTTTAAAGAAAAGTGGATATATATTATGAATCTGCTTGGGTAAGGCTCTAATCAGTGTAAGGGAGGCTGAAACAAGTATATTACCTATGTCCTCGAATATCCGACTGATCACACACTCCTCCAAGTGCAATCCTGTGGAACTCTCGACCTAGAGTCTTGGCCACAGATCTTCCCACACTTGTTTTGCCAACTCCAGGAGGACCAACAAAGCACAGAATTGGACCCTTCAGGTTGTTTTTCAGCTGTCTAACAGCCAAATATTCCAGAACTCTTTTCTTCAATTTTTCCATGGCATAATGATCATTATCCAGAAGAATCCTAGCTGCCCTAATGTCCAGGCGATCTGTCAAAAAAACCAACAGAAAGATCATAGAATATCTATGTGAAAGAACTCCCTTCAAGCTTGGCAAAGGCAAAATATTTTTTAGGAAAAAATGTTATTAATATTAAAAATGTTGAAGGATAGGTTGGATGGGGGGGATGATGAAAGGAGTGATATCAATCAAGATGCGTTATACTTATAAACTGATTTGCTGAATGGTAACCCCTTTGTACAACTACTTAAAGATAATAAAATATAATTTTCAAAAGGAATATACTTGGAGTCACATGCTGGTGATTCATGCCTATATTTCTTTTCTTTTCTTTTTTTTTTTTTGTCCATCATGGGGCTTGAACTCTGGGCTTGGGCTCTGTCCCTCAGCAATTTAGCTAAAGGTGAGCACTCTACCACTTGAGCTACAGCGCCACTTCCAGTTTTCTAGTGGTTTATTGGAGATAAGAGTTTCATGGAGTTTCCTGCCTGGCCTGGCTTTGAACCTTGATCCTCAGATCTCAGCCTCCTGAGTAGCTAGGATTATAGGCCTGAGCCACCGGCGCCCAGCTTCATGCATATATTTCTATTCTGAAGGTATCATAGTTTGAAGCCAGCCTGGACGAAGAGATTCTAATTAGCTGGCGGCATGAAGTGGTCTAGCTGTGACTGATAAGATAAAGAAGAGAGTGGCCCTGAGTTCAAACCTCAATACTACACACAAAAAGAAAAAAAAAGAATAACTTTTGAAACCATGACTTTGCACCTCATTGCTCATTGATTCTTTTTTTTTTGTCGGTTGTGGGGCTTGAACTCTGGGCCTGGGCGCTGTCCCTCAGCTCTTCAGCTCAAGGCGAGCGCTCTACCACTTGAGCAAACCAGTTGTTTAAGGATACAGGTGGACCTGTTGCAACAATGAGAAGTACAAGTTGTCTTGTCCAAAACGAGCTTTACAATGTCGGTGCGGGGG